ACCTCTAAAGTGCAAGTAACTAAGTAGTAGAAAGTATATTTCTTTCTTCCTATACATTCAAGTTATAAAAGAAATGTAAATCGAAGCACAAAATGTGCATACTCAAAAAAGTGCAATATTATATTCTAATTATAATTTTGTAAACAATAACACTTAATAGCTGATCACACTTAACAGCAATTGCGAGTTATCAGGCCAATTCTAAGGGGGAAAAAATACTAACCTTTTTCCCTCTCAGAAGTTTATATCTCATAGACTTTATATCATGCATTTCTGACTTTATATCACGGAATTCTGACTTTATATCATGCATTTCTGACTTTATATCATGCATTTCTGACTTTATAACACCCAATTACGACTTTATATCACGCAATTGTGACTTTATATCTCGCAATTCTGACTTTATATCTTGCAATTCTGAGAAATAAAGTCAGAATTGCGAGAGGTAAACTCCCAATTGTGAAAAAAAAAAAAGTCAGAATTGTGAGATAAAAAGTCGCAATTACCTTTTTTATTTTCCATTCTGTGGCGGAAACAAGCTTCCATAGTTCCCGGTGTTCTGTCGATCTGTCCTACCTTGTCAGATTTTCCTACCGTAGCGCAAAATTATAGCCATATCTATCGGTTCATCCTACCTCGTCGTAAAATCCTACTGAGCGTTTCTGCTTCGCGTCTGTGACTAAGTTACATAAAATATTTCTGTGTAACTTTGCCGAATTTTCTTATTAGGCCATGTTACGGTGATTTTACAGTGCAAAGTAACGTTACCTCTTCAGATTGTCCTATGAAATAAACGATAGGATGATTTTACGTTGCAAAATACCTCATCAGATTGTGCTACCAGTATGAAATAAACGAGTAGTATGATTTTACAGTGCAAAATGCCTCATCAGATTGTCCTACCAGTATGAAATAAACGAGTAGAATGATTTTACGTTAATGTTTTCATGAAAAAAATGCTAATATGAATTTGCTTTGTATGAATGTGAGAGTAAACAGTTCTCATTACTGCTATATATCTTTGTATAGTGAAAAACTTACCTCAGATGAAGAAGATCTCGCGCAAGTAGTAAAATATTATGGGCGTGTTGTTCAGCGTGACAAAAAATGACGTATTATTGATGTGCGCATGCGCAGTAAGCCTTGGTAGGACAATCTGACGGGTAGGATGGAATGTCAGAACACCGGCTTACAGTGGAATCCAAAATGAGCCCAAACGTCGGCTTTTAATGTAGGCGGTGCAGTCTTGAATCAGGCTTGAACGGAGTGCAGCTGTTGTCCGTCATCGCGCTGTTTTGCTAAGGGCTAAAGCGCGACTTGTACAACGCTGAACGCTCTCACTAGAGTGTAGCCCACAGCGCCGCCACTGGCCTGGATGGCTGAATCGATTCATAGGATTTGATGAATCGATATTGAATTGAGAAGCAAAAAATTGCAATGCATTGATGAATCGATATTTTTACCCAGCCCTAAATCCCAGTTCAGTCAGGCTTGTGTATTCTGTACGTTAACCAATAGGCAATTCATTCTTAGTCAGCTCAGGTTTGTTTCTATAGTGCTTTTCACAGTGAGCAGCTTTACAGATCATCTCTTAAAGGGATAGTTTACCCCCAAAATGAAAATGAGCCCATGATTTACCCCCACTGAAACCACCCGAGGTGTATATATTTATATTTCAGTGGTTAATACTGTGTGATGGTGTTCAATTCTGAGAACAACAAAGAAAATTGTATTTTTTTCTTTGGTTTCTCCTGTTATTTATACAGTATTACACTTCTTCATGAATGTTCAGTTATTTTCAGTATTATGTACATGAGGGTGACCCTAAAGGTGCATTCGCCAGAGTTTAGTTCCAGTTCACAGTGACTGGACATGACAGATCTGACCCTGCTGCTGTTTTTACCTTGTGTCCCGCAGCTGGACGGTCATCACTGTGTGTTGTTTAAATGAAATGGATATTTGCCTGTTGTCTCACACTCACACTGTAATTTTGAAGTTTTGTTTTATTTCGTTTGTATTGTTTATGGTAAAGACTTTGAAGGGAATAAGGTGATCATTTCTGAATGAGACGCATCCTCTGTTTTTTATTGCTGTCTCTCACACTCACATGTCCAGTAGCCAGACCGTCCTGTTCTAAACAACTGGATAGAAACAGACAAAAGTGAAGAGCCATCAGCGTCATGCGGGACCCAGTCACTGTTATTTATAGTTGGTAAATTTTCATATGTAGAGAATCTTAATCAAAATGATTTTTTACAACACTATACATCTAAATGAGATGATTTTACAGAGGTGTTTTTACAGAGATTTGTTTTGCCATTTTATTTTCAAAAAGGGGATGGCAAATCGAGCACTGCACCAGTTAAAGAGCTCACACTATATACAAGAATAAACTTTGTCAGAGTGTCAAAGGGGAAACCTGAATGTTTAAGTAAACTGATCAATTAAAATGATCACATGAACGTTGCTGAAAGTCACTTTTATCATCTCTATGTTGTTATCCATCAGCCGACAGCCATGTTTGTTTACATTACTCAGTCAGGGAGCGAGGGCTTGTTACATTTACAACACATAGAAGAATAATCATTGTCAGTTTACTTGAAAGATTATTTTCTCAGATATTAGACATGATAATTTCATGGTTTTGTTTTCTCTGGGTTTGTTCCTGCGCTCTCAATACAACCTACACCTCACATGTTAGATATCTGTGTGTTTTCTACGAACTGTAAACCTAGTCCTTTTTTACCAGGTCTTTGTGTTTTGAACGTTGTTTGAAAACACTGAAAGTTAGTGATTATATAAATCCTATATGAGCATATCAATCACAAAGTACATTTGTGTTGAGCAGTCTTGTGAGTGTGATGGTACTGCAGCTGGCCTTGTTTTCGTGGGCCGGTTAGTGTTTCAGAGGACTGTAGTTCACGGACCGCTGGCCTAAATACTGTTTGGCAGAGAGCAAGAAACCCGTTTAGGTCTAGGACGACTGGAATCGTTGACAATGGGAACTTGGACATGTTTGTGGCTCACTTCCTTGGCTGACTGTATCTCCTTCTGCTGTGTTGAGCCATCGTGAATGAAGATCTGTCAGGACAGTGGAGCATTGGTAGAGAGGAGGTTCACTACAGAGGTTCATTTGCCCAATGCTGTCATTGACTATAATGCTTCCTCAGTGTGTTAAACATGAATATATAAGTCTTTAATATGTGTCAAACAAACTCATGCAGTCTCATATGCACTAAAATGTGTGTGTGTGTGGGTTAACACACTAAACTTGAAAAAGTAGAACTTTTGGATGATAAATTTTCACTTAGACATCAAAAATAGCAAAACTTCGTGATCACCATCTGTTCCTTGAAGCTGGCGAGGAGATTTACCCGTAGGGAAACCAGCATTCACTCATTAAGACAGACACATGTGCCATTCTGCCAGTTCCTCTAAACACGCATCCAATTAAAAATGTGTAATTACACAAGATCACACATGATCAGCCAACATGAACACCAGAGTCGCGTCTGTGAGAGGGAGCAGTGCTAATGCGTTTGCAAGGTGTACATGTGCATTGCTTATTTTCATACCATATTTTCTGACCTAATTTTATTTCGTTTTCTCTCAGACTTAAAGTAAACCAATAAGTAGATTACACCGGATTTTAAGAGAGGTCATGTTAAACTGTGCTGATATCTGACATAAACTGTGGATGTACGCTGACTGATTCAAGAACCCTTATAGCAACATTGGCTAGCTAGAGTAGTAATAACTGGGCTTTAAAGTGTATTATGAGAAAATGTAATTACTTTTAATTTACTTTATTTTTTACAAAGCAGAACTGCAGCATTTAGGCCTGGTTATAATTTTATACTAAACATGTGTCCTTTGATGTTCATCATACATCACTTGATTTGCAGGACAGAAACTGTATGAATGTAGTTGTTATTTGTAGGATCTCGAACACAGGGTGATGATGCCATAGCAACACATCATCAGTGCTATAGAATCGTGTCGATTCATTGGCCGATGAACAGCGCGCGTACACACATGGTGCCATTGTGCCTGATTTTTCTTTCTGCAGTGCACAGTGTGTCTCAGCCCGCTGTTCAATAGTTTAATAATTCCCCTTTTGAGTGGCAGTTATGTGGCTTCAGCCTTGCACACTATGGCGGTCTTGGAAGCCTTTCAAGCTCATTTTAAGAGGCCCTGGGATGAAGGCACAGCAGTGGATCCCGAGGCTTGACACTGACCGAGCGGATGACGAATGATTGGAGATCTGTTGGTTCAATACTGAATTTTGTTCATCAGCGTCCTCAGATGCGACTGCTTTGACACTTAAGGTGTATGTAGATCCTGCTTTGCCTAATAGAGTCGGTGCATTTTCTAGTGCTTTGGTGGCACGTGTGTTGCCTTCCTGGGCATTCGGGCTGAAAGTCAATGAAAGTTTGATTCCTGGATCATCAGCCTATTGGGGTGCTACTATGTTTGCCACATGGGCTGAGCTACCGTTTGCATGGCGTGACTGCATATATTCCCATTGCGTCATCATGCAGCGTTGAGTTCCAACAAATGGAATGTCTAGATTACTGATGTAACCCTGAGTGGGAACAAGATGCTGTGTAGCTTCTTGGGCTATATGGGCTAATCGTCATCCATCAGCCAATAAACTGGCATGATTCTGTAGGGCAGCGTGACTACTGATGTGTTCCCGTTGCATCATTACGCAGCGTCTTTGGGAACGTCTTGGTTTACATATGTAACCCTTGTTCCCTTTTAGGCAGTCCCGTTCGACGTTATGCCAGAACAACTGACGACTTGGGATCCCAATTCATCAGTCGTTGTGATGCAGCGTAGAGCGTTAGGGGAGCGTTAAAGGGAGCCAGGGTTGCCTCATTAACCTGAATGTTTTGTTGTTATTTGAATGATGTATGATGTAAATGCCAGCTGCCCCTTCACATGCTCATGCCATGATTCCACCTTTTTACTCTTGTGTCTGTTTTTCTCTGCAGTTCTGGAAACATGCCGAAGCACGTGGAGGTCAGAATGCATGAAAGCCACCTGGAGCCCATTGAGGCGAGGCCGAGCTCCAAGTTTGCCACAATATGCCAGAAGCTGCGCAAGAACCTGCTGCTCACACTGACTGTAATGGGTGAGTGTTCCTCAGCGTCTCACAGGGACAGTTTCACAGCACTCGTGGCATGATTATACATAGAGCGACGGCTGAATGTCAGCAAACAGCTGACTGTAAATCCTAGTATTTGATTTAAACCTCTGTCAGATGAGGCGAAATTAATTTTAGATGCTTTCATTTCCTGCGACTGAAGCATTGTTGAACAGAGTGAATATTGAGGAAGTCATTTTTACGCTGTATATTTGTACAGGTGTATATGCGATTAGCTCTAGACAGTGTGTATAGCAGTTAGTGTCTCTGGTGTTTCAGGACGTACTACAAACAAACTTCTTTTTGCAGGATTATAAAGCCAGAAAGTAATCTGCCTCAGCAGGGCTTCAGTATAGACTAGACGGATTTCAGCAAAATGGCCTTCTATAAGAAGTGAGGACCATTTATGGGTACAAGTCGGGAACCGGCCAACCTTAGATATTTCAAGGGTGCTGAGTCCAAAAAAAATTGGTTCCCAAGCGAAATTTTGAGTTTTTTACCTTCTAATTTGCATATCAAAATGGCCTTGTTCAGTCGTTGGACCATTTTCTCCTAGTTTTTTTGAAAGTAGGCAATCAAGATGAGGAAATTAAGTTTCTAGATCGATAGTCAAGGGTCAGAGCAAAGATATATTGGAGGCTCACTGCCTTTTTATGTAAATATAGTTGCAAAACAACAACTTTTAAGGCGAGACACTAGGTGAATAGGGTAAGATTTTTAAATAATAGATATCACCATGAAACTTCCTCGGTTGATTACTTACACAAGTTTATAAAAAAATGTATTATAAGTTTTTGAAATTTGTATGTTTAATTATGCAAATTAGGCATTATCTCATTAAATATGCACAATTTTGCATATATTTTCAGTAGATAGATCTAAACATATGATAAAGCCAGGTGAAAAGTTTTTTTTTTCATTTTGTTTACACACAAGGTGAAAAAAATGTTCAGAGGTATTTCAGGATATGTGCTTTTATTCAAAAACTTACAATACATTGTTTAAATACTTTTCATACTTTTCAAAGTTTCATTGTGATATCTATTATTCAAAAATGTTACCCTATTCACCTAGTGTCTCGCCTTAAAAGTTGGTATTTTGCAAATATATATACTACATACAAAAGGCAGTGAGCCTCCAATATATCTTTGCTCTGACCCTTGACTATTGATCTAGAAACTTAATTTCCTCATCTTGATTGCCTTCTTACAAAAAAACTAGGAGAAAATGGTCCAACGATTGAGTAAGATAGGCAATTTGGCGGCCATTTTAATATGCAAATTAGAAGGTAAAAAACTCAAAATTTTGCTTGGGAACCAATTTTTTTGGGACTCAGCACCCTTGAAATATGTAAGGTAGGCTGGTTCCTGACGTGTACCCATAAATGCTCCTCACTTTCATTTTTAGGGTACATTCCATTTAGACTATTAGTGCTGTATAGAGTACATGTACTTCCCTACACACAGATATGGATAATGACGCCTCACACAGCATAGTTCCACAGCACAATATCTGAAAACACCCCGCATGTATGTCATGCTACTAGGGCTGTCAGCGTTAATGCATTAATCGCGATTAGTTAAAAACAATCCATAACGCGTTATTTTTTTTTTAATCGCATTTCAAGGAACGCGTTTTTGTCCCTTTGGCTAGCCCGTAGTCAGCCCCTTTGGTTTGTGAAGCGGTAAAAAGTGATGGATAGAAAAAGTACGACCGGATTTTTAAAGTTTAACCTGTTTAACTTTAAAAAAAAATCAGACGGTGCCGTTGACAACACTAAGGTACAATGCAGCATTTGTTTCAAGGAGTTCAGCTACCATCGGAGCACGTCAAGTCTAAGTTACCACCTCCAGGCCAAACACCCCGGTGTTTCATTTGACGCTTCCCCGGCCAAGCAAGCCGCAGCCTCGCCACAGAACCATTCCTGAGTGTGGGCGTCGCAGCAGACCCTTGGATGAAAATAAGTTAACCACAGCGATCGAATTTACTACTAGTGTTAAATATCACTTGATTGCTGTTATTGCTAGGAATTGTTTTGCTAATAATGTTATTGTTTATTTTTGAAGTAGGTTAAGAGAGTGGCCTGATAAATGTCATCTCTCAAAGTAAGCACTGCGTTACTTTATTCCTCCTAATATTTGGAGGTTGGTCTACATTGCACTTTTTTTTTATAAAAAATTTTCAAAAAGGAAATTGTATGTGTTCTTTTGATTCCCAATGAAAACTCTGGTAAGATATACTACATTATGGGCTTAGAACTGTCTTGATTTGCAAAATAACAGAATTTTACACATGCAAAAAATAAAACCGCGATTAATCGCAGTTAACTATGAAGCTTCTGCGATTAATTTGCGACTTTGTTTAATTTTTGTCTAATTCAGCCTACTACACATGATTAGTCAATTTTATCACATTTAACATTTGCCTTTGGTTTCAGAGGACCTTAACTGGGTGGTGAGATTATATGTTTGAAATCACACATGTTCAGGAATATTTTGTCCAAATGATCCAAAAGAAGAGCTTCTCTTTTCCCCATCCCAGGTGTGATTTTGGGAGCGGTGTTCGGTATGCTGCTGCGTGTCGCTTCTCCGATCGATGACAACATCGTCATGGTCATTGCCTTCCCTGGAGATATTCTAATGAGGATGCTGAAAATGCTCATCCTTCCCTTAATCATCTCCAGCTTAATCACAGGTAACACAAGCCTCCTCTTTTAACAAGCTGTCGACTGTTAGATTAGAAATGGGGAAGATTCGCACAGTCCATTTTAGGCAACATAAACATGTCTTCACAAAATGAGAATAGTTCCTGTGTTTGCACTAAATGAGACTCAGCTGAGCTCCCGTCACGAACGCCTCCTCCTGAAGTCTATATTGCAATCTGTCTCAAACGCTTGGTCTCCTGATGGTAATATATATTCCTGTAGTTAAACAGTAAAGATGGCGCTAGCTATGCCAAGATCATGGGTTTGTTTACCAGGGAATGCATGAACTGATAAATGCTGTGTAAGCTTTCTATGGATAAAAGTGTGTGCTGAATGCATAAATGACCGTATGGCTATGAAGTGTAAACAGCCTCTAAGTCTAAATTCTTAAATAACACAAAATCTTAACAAAAACTGCCCTTCAATGTCTGTGCATTCATTCAATTTAGGTGCACAAGAGATAAATCGTTGAAAGCAGAGGGCTCTCCTGTGGTAAGAGGCAGTGGAAGAAATCCCCTTTCCTCAGAAACAGAAGGGTCTTTTTTCAGTCATGTTTTGTGAACATAAGCGCCCTATTTTGGACTGGTTAAATGTTGAACATTTAGTTTGATAACTCATATTTCATGCCCTCTGTTTTTACCATTAACAGCCAACAGTGTCCAACAGACATTCACAAAAGTACTTTAATATATTTCCGGTTGAGTTTTCTGCGACTGCACAACTGGGATATAGGTTGCCAGGTTGAGATGACAAATGTGTTTAGAATTGTATATGGTGTGTGGATTGTGTGAATATAATGCATTTAATACAAGATCTGGCAACTGGTCAACATCAGACAAACATATTGGTCAGATTATTCATAAAGGAGTTTGGGCCATGCAAATTACGGGAGTTTCCCGGGAGAAATAACAAACCGGGAGGGGTCCGGGAGATAGGGCTAAGAAACGGGAGTGTTGACAGGTATGAGTAAATGTATAATTGTAGCCTTTTTTGGAGGTGTATTTACACGGCAATCCCATTCACAGGATTCGTGTGCACAGCCAACAGAAATAAGATGTGTCCTGATTGTTATAAAAGGGATGTTTGAAGATGTTTAATCTATGATACTTTCATACCAAATGCATGAAAGCAGATTGAGCTAGACTAGAGTGATATAAGCTATATATCAAGACATTTGAGCTGGTGCATATGCAGCAATGACTTTCCCATTTCCCCAACCAAGGTCTGGCTGGTCTGGATGCAAAGTCAAGTGGTCGTCTGGGTTCCAGAGCCATGATCTATTACATGAGCACTACTGTCATTGCTGCTGTGCTGGGCGTGATCCTGGTGCTCCTCATCCACCCTGGAAATCCCAAACTCAAGGAGAATCTCGGAGAAGGAGCGAAGAATGATGAGGTTTCCAGTCTGGATGCCTTTTTTGACCTAATCAGAAACCTCTTCCCTGAGAACTTGGTTCAGTCTTGCTTCCAGCAGGTACGACTCCACGGCTGTTAAATGCTTAATGGTTAAAGTGAGACAAGAACTTGCAACAAAATGGTGAACTAATTGAGGTGATGTTTAAATGCACAGATCCAGACCGTTGTGAAGAAGATAGAAGTTCAACCTGACCTCGATGACACCAACAGCACTATGTCTGACTATCTCTCTAACGCCACCAAGCCACCGCCCATTATCATAGTCAAGAAATCTCTAGAGTTCAAGAGTGGAATGAATGTGCTGGGTAGGGCAATCATTCCCTCAAATATCTTTAGATAAATCCTTGCCTTTTAATTTATTTATATGTTTTCATCTTTGTCTTTCAATATGTTCCAGGTCTAATTGGATTCTTCATTGCCTTTGGGATTTGCATGGGCAAGATGGGAGACAGAGCTAGGCTTATGATTGAGTTCTTCAACATTCTCAATGAGATTGTGATGAAGCTTGTCATCATGATTATGTGGTCAGTTGGACTTTTCCTGTCCTTTAGCAGAATAAGAAGTCTAGTGATTATGTTTTACACCGATGGACTCACATTATGGGCTGACTTTATAGGTACTCACCCTTTGGCATTGCCTGCTTGATCTGTGGAAAGATCATCTCTATTAAAGACCTGGAGGTGGTGGCCAGGCAGCTGGGGATGTACATGGTGACGGTTATTATTGGTCTGATAATCCATGGTGCCATATTCCTGCCAGCCATCTACTTTGCAATTGTGAGGAAAAACCCCTTCACATTCTTCATGGGAATCTTCCAGGCCTGGATCACGGCTCTGGGCACAGCTTCTAGGTATGAAGTTACAATCAAGACCTTGAAGCGGATTAGAGTAAGAACCAGCCATAAACACCTCATACGTGGCTGCTCCCAAGTTTAAGGGGCTTTCTTTGCCGTTAATGATTGGATAACATGCCTAGTCTCATTTGATTAAAGGTCATGAACTAAGAAATCATGATCTACATTCTATGTAGCCATATATTTGTAAAAATAAATCAATAAAAAAACCTTTGTAGCTATACATTATACTTATATATATACCTTTTGCATACATATTGCAACATAATCACAAGCATACCGAGTAAGAATGATCATTTTGTCTTTTCTTCTTCTAGTGCTGGCACTCTGCCTGTAACTTTCCGTTGTCTTGAAGAAAACCTTGGTATTGACAAGAGAGTTACACGGTTTGTGCTTCCAGTTGGAGCAACGATTAACATGGACGGAACAGCCCTCTATGAGGCTGTAGCTGCCATTTTTATTGCCCAGATGAACGGAATTTATCTAGATCCTGGTCAGATCGTCACTGTCAGGTAATAATAGGTTGGTTCGTAATTTTATTAAGAACCAACATCCACCTAATAATTCATGCGCTGTGCACCAAATAAATGTTACATTTATTCAATGATTTTTGTAGGTGAATGTTCAACAATATACATTTGTTTCTCCCAAGTTGTTCCCCCCTAAACCTCCAAATTTAACATTTCCCTTACCAGAAACTGAATTATGCATATCATATAAAAAGTGATTTTCTCATCAGCTGTCAATTATTCTTGTCCTCTGCTTAGGCATACAGTATCACCAACTCTTAATAAATAAGTTAAAAACTCCTAGCCTACTAACAAAATAGTCTAATTTTTCAACTGAGGTCAGTTCAGTGTCGATCCAGTTCTGTTCAATAACTGTGTAAAGTTCATCAATTATAAAAGGAGCTCTGTAGAATGAGAGTGATGTCAGCATCCAGCTCGGATCAGTTCTCATCCTATAGTGTCAGTGCATTCAGATCAATAATATTAGCAAAGCAAAGAAAGGCAATTCATTTATAAAGCACAATTCCAAACAACAGTTAACCACCAATGTGCTGTACGATTCTGTAAAAAGCAAACATACAGTACACACCAATATTACACGCAATAGTAGTAGTAGAGGTGAAGGCGGAATGGAGGTGGCTGAGGTGATGACACAGGGAAGACAGGAGATGAAGAGGGGATGGTGCAATACGGACAACGAGACCCCGGCGGTGATGATGAAGGGCGTCTGATGCCACAGACCCAGAGATGACAACCCATGGTGGAGATGAAGGAGGGAGGAGCCAAGGTGGCGTGGAGGTAGACGTCAACTGGGTGATGACTGACGGAGGTGGAGCTGATGGATCCCAGGGTGCAGACGGAGAGCCGATGGAGATGAGCGACAATCGCTGGCACAGGAGGCCTGAGAAATGTGGCGATGGTGGTGTGATGGAGTACTGAGGCGTAACCAAAGGGAAGGAGGCGGCCGCTGCAGCCATAGGGATGGAAGCTCCACATGTCCTTGGCAGAGGTGGAGTGATGACTGACCAAGGGGGAGCCGGTGGGACAAGGGAACCGGTGGAGCCGTAAGACCGAGGGTGCCTGGAGGAGCCAAGTTGGAGCCGACAGGTCGAGACGGAGCAGGACGATCTGAGGCCGAATGCTGAGACACTGGATCTATCTACTCAGGTCTGAAGGTGGTTGTAGGACCTGAGGCTCGTCCGACTGTGTTCTGGACCGAGGGTAAACACTCTCCAGACACCGGATGATATGCTGCTGCACTTTTGAAAATGAAAGTGTTTCTCCTAAGGTTCATTTTGAGGAAAGAAGGGCAATCGGCTATCACCCATCGTTCCAATTCTGGGGTTCACAAGGTGTGGCATGAGCAAGAGTTTTGGGGATTCGATGTTGAGATTGAGGCATTCGACAGAGATCAGACTGTCTCTGCTTCTCTCTCACTCTGTGCAGTGTATTCTCTGAAGAGTTTGCACATAAGGAGTTGTACTCAAGTGTGGAAACTCACAATGCAATCTCGATTAACCTGTATTACGTCTCCGTTTCCTATCGCTGCAAACGATTTAGCACTTTTGGCTACCAAACATTCTGCTCACATGATCGGTCACTCCGTGACTGATTTGCATTGTCAGGTTACATTGTGTTACACATTTCAGATGACAACAGTTAAACTGTGAGTTTCTCGTTTATGCTCCACGCCAACATGACATCATGACTTTTGCGTAAACATACACGCCACTTTCGAGTCAGGTGGCGTGTTATCTCTACGCATTTTGAGCTATCCGCGTGTATCCGCGTGTATGCATGTCTACGCCAATAACGTCCGCGTCATTCCGTGTGTCTGTACACGCAGTCAAATCTCCAGTCATAAATGCCATTAACCCCAGTGACGGTTAGGTTTAGGGACGGGGTTGAGGTAAGTCATATCTTTATATAACGTTAAGTCAACGGCGTTCATAAACACGCTGAAAGGCGATTATGCGTCTTGATAGCACGCCAAAAATGGAAATACGAATTGGCGTGGCATACACACGCTACTTCATGAGATCAGTCTGTCCACGCAATAATGCCTTTGGAGAAGTGCTCACGACCACAATGTCATGATTTGAACAGTGTGTGTCCCTATGGGGATGTTTATATTACGTTGGCTGTACATTCCCCTGTTTTGGGATGGGCCATTCAGAGAACCATGTCAGACTATCTGTCTTTCTCCTCGCTGTCCTTGGGATTTTGCTTTGTCAGTTTTGTTTGTTTTCAGAGGATTCAATAGTACAGCACGACATAACTCCCGATTTGTCTGTCCCTGCATGTATACTTCTGCTTTCACATCATGATCTTGCCTACATGATTTGAAAAGCCGTTGTGAAACCTGCTTCATGGTATCAGTCCATTTTTATGCCACCTGTTGTCGATATTTTGCGTGTACTTTCAAGATCATCAGCATACATTCGACAAATAACATCTAGAGGAAAGACAATTGGGTAATATATTTGCATTCGCACTAAACAACAATGGACCTGTGATAGGAGAAGAACATCACCTGGTTTTACCTCTGATTCTGTGAGGATCACCATTATTTCCGTCTCTGTTGTTGTCGCATGTCGATGTGGAACAGAAGGTAATGTCCCACATGAAACTAGTCATTTCAAAGGGAGTGTACTAGCTGTAGGTATTGGAATAAATCCAATGCAGTTAGTGTACTTGCCTTCATTTAGGTAACACCCACATGACTCAACATTGGGGGATTGGCACATTGTCTAAAGGCAAAGTACAATGTCAGATGACTGTAGAAGAAGAATAACTTGAAGATGAAGGCAGTTGGGAAGAGTTTACTGGAGGTGATCAGGATGGAGGTCTAGCAGTCACATTGATCATCCTCTTCGTCCCCTTCTTCCCTTTGAAATTGTGCTATGTGTTCTTCCACCTGTCAGTTGTCATACTGTTTAAGATTGCTGTGAAGCTGGGCCATGTCGGCAGCCTCATCTTTCTCTTTGTCAGATATTGACTTGAAGAGTTTCCTCAGTGAGTCTGTGGTTTCTGTGGTGCTGAGTGCTCACCCTGTCTGGAGGAAGGCTCTGCTTGACTAGTTATAGCCCAGACACTGCTGCTCCTTTCTTCTCCCCTGACTCTCTTCCGATAATGTGTGAGGAAAGGGCAGGCTATAGTCAGGGATGTACTCCTCCCGATGCTTGGCATGCAACAATGCTTTTAGCGTCTATCAAAAGTCTTAATATGAGGGACAGCCGTGGATTTATCTTCTGATGACAATAGTGATAATCATGATAATCTAGGCTTATTCTACAAACCAGAATACTGCTGGGCTTAGAAGAGCATCTGAACTGTTGTGATTCTATATGGACTAGTCATTCCCAGGGATTGCCCTAAACATGAGCTACTACTGTAGTGTCTCGTTCTCTTCTTAACGGAACCGGGGTAATATCCATGACCCGGAAGATTTACTTTAAACTGTACTAGTTTCAATGTTGAAAGTGACATAATGACCTATGCTGTTTATCATTAATATATAAGAAAAGTATATCTAAGTAATCAAATTCTATAATTACATATTATATATAAAATTTAAATAATGCACAATACAGTTTCTTTGCCTATTTTAGCTTCATTTTCTTCTGACTTTTGTTCTTCCCAAAGTTCATGTACCACATCTTTTATTCCACACAGATATGGCTCTTATACTACATATTGGAGAAATGTGCACTGGAGAAATGTCTGGCTGCTTGCCCAGGATCAATTACCTGTTAAACTAAATTCAGAACACCTTTGTCTAGCGGGCCGTAATTTTTGTACATAAGCAGTCATGTTTTTCACATGCTCTGGACAAGAATGTCTACTAAATGCTTTGTATGCAATATGAATGAAATATAAGTGCTTGCATTCCCATATTTTAGTCTTACAGCAACACTTGCCAGTATTGGAGCGGCGAGTATCCCCAGTGCTGGACTGGTCACTATGTTACTCATCCTAACAGCCGTCGGCCTTCCTACTCAAGACATCAGTCTGCTGGTGGCTGTGGACTGGCTTCTGTGAGTATTCCCAATCTGGGTTTATTTTATCCTGATTAGGACTGTTTAATGTTAACTGAGGGCATTTCCTGAAGCTGTCAATAGCCGCGTTTCCATTATGCTTCAAATAATGTTTTTTTTTTTTTTTTTTTTTTTTGTAAAAGTAACATGTTTCCAATGTGCAGATTTTCAGTTTTCAATTTCAATTTTCAATTTGGTCAAGGTCAAGGTTACTTTATTGTCCCGAAGGGCAATTATTTGTGTTTTTCTGCTGGCTGTATAAATAATTGGCCTTGGGGGACAATAAAGTAACCTTGTCCTTGACCAAATTGAAAATTGAAATTGGAAACTGAACATCTGCACATTGGAAACATTGGAGCAAAAACTCCCATATATCTCAAAAAACCTTTTTATGCTCGCACGAGGAAGTTTTTCAGGCATTTTAAAAAAGGAATATTTCGCACAACTGCAAGGGAATCCGTTTTTGTGCATTTACAGGTCACCTGATGGCGCTGTATGTTTGGACAGAAGATGAGACAGAGTTATTTATTAAACTGAGTTATTGATTACAGAAATCAAAATTTCCTTGAGGTTTTTATATTTTCTTGAGGTATTATAAGAATATGCTAAACGTTTCAGAACCGAAAACTGTGTTATTCCAAAATCAGCTTTTATTGTCCTGGAATTTTCCTCTTTATGATGTAATAAGGAAGAGAAAGACCGCCTCTGCAGAAGAAGATCAGCTTAGGCCCCGCCCACTGGCGTTAGCGAGATGAAGAAGGGAGTAGAGCACAGGGTCACTCACTGGACTAAAAACAACATTCCCTTCAAGAGGATCCTAATGATAGGAATGTGGATATTTATTTTCAACAATGTGAACAAACATTATTTGTTAGTATTCGGTACATTTCACTGGATTCTTTGGTAAATTAGTCCGCAAACTCGACTCGGAGTATTGGGATGGGATACATGCAAACCTACTGACATCCGTCAACATGATGTTTGGAATGTCTCATCGCAATAGGACAAAATTACGTTTCATTTGCATATAATTGGATAATGGAAACGCCGTCATTTCGCAATAGTTTTAATCGACATTTAGAAAATATTGCAAAAGTTTTGCGCAATTCTGTAATGGAAACACGGCTAGTGTCACTTTTAAGCTTATCCTACTCTGGTTAAGGGAATTCTTTGTGATTGCTGAGCGGATTTTCGTCTGGTGTTTTCTTTCTTTTTCTCAGGGATCGTTTCCGTACCTCAGTTAATGTGGTTGGAGACTCATATGGTGCTGGCATCGTCTACCACTTGTCCAAGGCAGAGCTGGACGCTCTGGACGCCCAACATGGGAAAACTGATGACATAGAGTTGATGACCAAGACCCCATCCTACTATGATGACCTCAAAAACCATCATGAAAACAACTCCAACCAGTGCGTCCATGCTGCTCAAAATTCAGTCTTAGTAGATGATTGCAAGGTACAAGTCACGCTTATGGACGTAGAGACATCTATTTAACACACGCCTGCATGCTCTGCACATCTCTTTATTGATATCTTTTGCATGTTAGCATATATGTAAATATATATATATCCACACACACATGTGTGTCTGTGCATATATGGTGTGTATAGTATAATTGTGTTTGTGCTAATATTTATTTGCTTATTTTCTTGGAGCATATTTTCTGCATTTTACAACATGGGATTCTTTGTTGTGAACAAAGTACATCAGAATCTATATTTAAAAACATCAAACCAATATTTTTTACCATAAACTCTGCTGTTAGAATAAAAATGCTTTTTTTTAACCTTACATCAAAAATAGTTATATCATGACAATTACAGTAATAATGCATACATCTTTGCCGTCTTATATAATATTGTGTTAGCAATCGTCCCTAGTAGCTAATCTAGGAGCCTTTCCCTTTCTACATCCTATATAGCACACACACACTCCAGTGTTTACATACAGTGTCATGCCACCACCAATTCCTTTGTGACCGAGGTTACATACATCATAATCCATAAAAGAAACCAAAACCATGGCAACTGGCCCACATCAGCATGAAACGGCATGGTTTGCCAACAAGAACCCAGACCTGATGGTGGAAAAAGGCTTTATTCAGCTCTGATGAATGTTCTATGGAGTGATTCAATTTAAGTGATCATTCAGTTAAGCGTGTAATTGAAATAAATTCCCTGATGATCAAGTTTAAGAATATCAGGAATGAACCATTGCCTGAGACTAACCAAACTTTCAGGGGAGTTCAGAATGAAAGGGTAGATCCATCCTCCTGAGTAGACACAACTTCATTTTCTAGTTTTGATTAAGCTGCTTTCACGGCATGTTGTTATTACCTTAATTACGAGATGACTGTGACCTTCTCCTCTGAACGCCGTGTCTATGGAAACACATCTGCAGTGGTCATGTGGTACTAGTCGAAGCTCTTAGAACAGTTCTGGAGTTTAAAAGTTGTAATTACGAGTTCTATAAGTCAGAATCTCATTATTACGGTAATTCCGACATGGTGTGAACATTATTAAGCTTTATTTAATTTCACAGAGATTTAAACATATTTGGTTTATGGATTCTGTTATTAGCTGTTGTCTAATAGACAGAAAATCTGCTCCTTTTCTTCTGCTGTCTTGTTCTGCTTTCATGCTCTGGATACAAATCTATAAAATAACAAAAACTAACCCAGTTTATTGAAAAATGCAATCCATTGTAGAAGCTTTGCAAAATAACCACTCATAAATGCATGCATGAATGTTGTACCTTGTTTGTTTGTTTGTTTATTTATTTATGAATTTTAATGAAAGACTGTGTTTGGTTGAATATTATAGAGTAGTCTGTGAATGTGTTATTGAATGTTCTCACACAGGTAAAGCAGTCAAATGGTTTAAATGTCAGTTTGTATTGTTAAATGCAGATACATTAATCTTGGAGCACAGAATTCTGAATGGATTAAACACTTGATTTATATTTCCTGAGCATCTAAAATGAGGCAAAAGGAATCGAGCACAGAGAGGAAACTAAGAATGATAACAATAATGATATTGCTATGGGAATGCTTCTGCATGAGCCAGTGCCTGGAGCATGTGTCTAAACACGGGAGTCTGATTGGCTGAATATATGAGCGTCATGGCGTAGCGCAGCGCATCACCATGTCCATAAATAGACCTAAGAAATCTGCGCCAACGGCTTCTTTGTCTTCAGAAGCCCCGTGTTTGAGGAACATTTTTATTGTGTGTTTATAAAATCTTTAGACCTGGAGTTAGTCTATATAGTCCATATATATTCACTCACCTAAAGGATTATTAGGAACACCACACTGATACTGTGTTTGACCGCCTTTCGCCTTCAGAACTGCCTTAATTCTACGTGGCATTGATTCAACAAGGTGCTGAAAGCATTCTTTAGAGATGTTGGCCCATATTGATAGGATAGCATCTTGCAGTTGATGGAGATTTGTGGGATGCACATCCAGGGCACGAAGCTCCCGTTCCACCACATCCCAAAGATGCTCTATTGGGTTGAGATCTGGTGACTGTGGCGGCCATTTTAGTACAGTCAACTCATTGACATGTTCAAGAAACCAATTTGAAATGATTTGAGCTTTGTGACATGGTGCATTATCCTGCTGGAAGTAGCCATCAGAGGATGGGGACATGGTGGCCGTAAAGGGATGGACATGGTCAGAAACAATGCTCAGGTAGGCCGTGGCATTTAAACGATGCCCAATTGGCACTAAGGGGCCTAAAGTGTGCCAAGAAAACATCCCCACACCATTACACCACCACCACCACCAGCCTGCACAGTGGGAGCAAGGCATGATGGATCCATGTTCTCATTCTGTTTACGCCAAATTCTGACTCTACCATCTGAATGTCTCAACAGAAATCGAGACTCATCAGACCAGGCAACATTTTTCCAGTCTTCAACTGTCTGATTTTGGTGAGCTCTTGTCAATTGTCGCCTCTTTCTCCTATTTGTAGTGGAGATGATTGGTACCCGGTGGGGTCTTCTGCTGTTGTAGCCCATCCGCCTCAAGGTTGTGTGTGTTGTGTCTTCTTCACAAATGCTTTGCTGCATACCTCGGTTGCAACGAGTGGTTATTTCAGTCAAAGTTGCTCTTCTATCAGCTTGAATCAGTCGGCCCATTCTCCTCTGACCTCTCGCATCAACAAGGCATTTTCTCCCACAGGACTGCCGCATACTGGATGTTTTCCCCTTTTCACACCATTCTTTGTAAACCCTAGAAATGGTTGTGTGTGAAAATCCCAGTAACTGAGCAGATTGTGAAATACTCACACCGACCCGTCTGGCACCAACAACCATGCCACGCCCAAGACCACACCCCTAAATGCATTGAAGCAACTGCCATGTGATTGCTTGATTAGATAATTGCATTAATGAGAAATTGAACAGGTGTTCCTAAAAATCCTTTAGGTGAGTGTATAAATGAGACGCATAGTTTCAAGTTTGCTTTGGGGGCAAAGCATTCTGGCATTCTGGTATGGAGTCCTCCTCGGCCTGAGCCAGGTTAGGCCAGGACACATTGCAGCGATTTCTCTGGTGACTCAAGAACAGTGACTTCCTAAGTCTCTGAGAGTATCCCCTCCTGGGGGTAATCTGTGCACACCATGTTGTGTGTTCGATTTCCTCTCGGGCTCTCAAGTGTTGTCTCTGGTGATTAGGGAAGTGGAGGAATCCGACGGGCTAACTTCGCTCACAAGCGAATCGTCTCTTTTACTCATACTAGGTATTGTTGTGTTGTACCGTGCCCTGGAGTGATTGTCCCCACTCCCCCGGTAGCCTGCATTCACATTGGCCTTAATATTCCGGGCCGGAGCTTGCTTGCGTTATTTACAATGAAACGTTTTGTGTTGAAGGAAACATAAAGAAAAGCACTTTTGCTAATAGACTGCCTAATAGACTTTATGTAGATTCTAAAATCATTTATGTAGCGCAGCGATTTTCACTTGATTGTACTGCACGAGGGCACTTATCAGAACATTCTCATGGAAGCAGTTAATAGCATATGTTGCATTGGATTACAGATGCTATCAACCTATTCTATGAGGTGCATGGATTGGCTTCGACTCCACTAGGAGTATGGCATCTTCCAAAGCTCCTGTGAGGGGTGCACCTTTATATGTTTGTGGCAGGGTGGTCTCAGTAAATACTTTCATCAGGTTCTACAGTTTGGATATGGATTCAACCCCAGGATCTCCAGTCCTTCAGGGTAGACCCAAGTCCAGTCTCTGCCGATAAACAGCCTTGTGGGCAGGCTCTGTTTCTTTAGGCACGGCAACATTGGAATGGAAGTTCCCAAAGCATCAATGGCATGACATAACGCCGAGTCCCACTCGAATGGTAACGTCTCAGGTTACTCTTGTTACCCGGTTCCCTGAGAGGTAATCTGGAATCTGCGTCATGTTGCCACACCACGGTTATGCCCGTGTGTCTTTAGACAAATTTAATCTGTCGACGGCATTTCTGTCTATTTATGGACTCTGTGACTCGCTGTGTTATATCACGACATCCAGCCAATCAAACATACTGCCAATCATATTAGTATGTTTAAGCACGTGTCTCAGTATCAACGTCATGATGCCATGTCTCGTTACCCCCTCAGGGAAATAGGTTAACCTGCGATGTTACCAAAGAAGTCACTCAAAAGAATCCGGGTGTTATGCCTGAAGACACCGCAAAAGCAAACAACTCACGTGTGCTTTAGTACTACTGAAAAACCTTTATCTCCATACCAAAATCTCACTTGGTCAGATAGTGATTCATCTTTTCTGAATCGTCACAATATTGGTGTCCGGGAGTTAAAGTGTGCTATCAACGAATAGTGCTGATAAACCGCAGTAGAGATAGTATTTTCACTTAAAACGGAGTAGAAGCTTGGACCCAGAATTAGTATTACCTGAAGGTTGATGCATCATGACAACAATAGCGCAGGCCACACCATAACAATAATGTCACGACAAAAAGGAACAATGTTGTTACACTATTGGGATCTTTTTCAGCAAGTCAAAATCCATCCAACTTTAAGATTTAGATTTTTTAACTTGCACTTTGCAAAGGCTACTTTAATCGAAAAGCAAAGGAAAGAAAGGAAATTTTGTCGAAAACTTGTTTGAACTTGTGAAGGAATGTTAACAATTTTGCTAAAAGACCCAGAATTCTTTGCTCCAAAGCCTACATGTATTGTTGAACATACACATGGATGTGCACTCAAATGTGTTGATAACTGTTTCAGGTAACCTTGGCAGCCACAAACGGCTCAACTGCGGAGTGCACGCTTGTTGAGGAAGAACCGTGGAAAAACAATTAATGCAAGCACACAGACCCCGGCACCCAAAATGAGAGAAAAACCAACCTATATTCATGCACATAGAACAAATGGGTTTTGTAGTTTATTCCTATGGTTTCTATTCTTTTCTAACATGTTTAACGATGCATATGTTCTCATGTAACACAAGAATGTGAGGCCAAAAGCTCACACATGCAGCTGAGGCAGTTAGGGAAATTATTTGTGATGCTAATAAATATATACATACACTTCCAAACCTATGAATTTTGAGGAGAAGGGGTGAAAAATGAGGGTTTTTAGAGGGAAAACAAAGATTCTTGCAGAGCCACTGCTGTTTCTATGAGAATATGACAGAAACCTGAGCCACCTTGCACAACACTGTAGCACGTCTTTGTCCGAACAGATCTTAAGCCACTTCTCAAAAGGGTAATATGGTGTTGCTAGGAAACAACAGTAGGGACGGAGACAGCACACAGATGGAGCGTAAAGCACAAGCGGCGTTATTTTGAGCCCCTCCTCATCTGCCTCGCTCACGGGGGAGGGGTCTGTTGAGGAACGGATGAGAGGGTGTTGCTCGTATGGATGTTGGTGAGTCTGTGGCACGATAGCACAAAAACCTTTCAGGCACATCGCCATTATATTTACCATTCAGGTCATACGAGAGCCCCTTGCATCACGAAATACACTGAAATATGCAATGCACACCTTTTGTTTAGTTCATTTTAAAGCACAAATTTGTCTATTTATGTTGTACAACCAAAACCAGGCCTGAACATGTGTCAGTCATACAACGAACATACAGATGATGTCACCTGTGTGAAAAACCATGAATTGACAATGAAAATGACGTGGCTATTTGTCTATAATTTGGTGTGGTGGTTGGCATCATTAACAATGCTCTTTAGATTAACATGTCAAGCACAACCCATCTAAAATATCTACATGCCTTTGTCCAGATACTCCCATTTGTATTCTATATTTCGGCGGTTTTTCCTTCCACTGATGAGATAAACTCAGGCAGATCAAATATAATAATTTTGTCCAGGAAAAAGTTTGTCAGGGAAAAAAAAAAACATTCCTAATGCAGACAGAGATGATTTGTATGACGGCCCTGTTAGCATGCTGGAGAGAATTTTTTACCTGTTTTTATAGTCCGAGTAAGTTTACACGTTTCTAAATACCTAATGCCTTCGTCTTTCACTGCTGACGTTACACTTTTTATTATAGTTATCTTTTTTTACGCCCCTTTTAAATGAGCTGAAGTTCTTACCTCAAAGAGACATTGCCAAGGCTATTGTAACTATTTTTAAGCAATTTTGTTTTTGAGCTTTGAAAAAACAAACAACTGAAATAACTACAAGAGCAAGTAGTATTACAACAGAAGAGTTTAATCGTAATAAAAGGAGGATTTTATAACTGCACTGTTATAAACACTACCTCTGGATGTACCATCCTCTTATCCATCTCTGACAGTGTCCTTCCCTCATTTGCAAACGACAGTTTCTAAGCCCCGCCATGCTGCAAAACCACTAGCAGAGACACACAACCTTCCACCACTTCCTGTCAGACTGACCAATCAACAGAACACTTCCTGTCAGACTGACCAATCAACAAAACACTTCCTGTCAGACTGACCAATCAACAGAACACTTCCTGTCAGACTGACCAATCAACAAAACACTTCCTGTCAGACCGACCAATCAACAAAACACTTCCTGTCAGACCGACCAATCAACAGAACACTTCCTGTCAGACTGACCAATCAACGGAACTCGTCCACATACCTCACTACGCCAGTCAGAGATTCCTACAAAATAAAAATATCTTTAAAGTGAGTGATAAATCCAGACACACATTCCGTTTTCCCTGTGTGTGATATTTATCAGAAGATCCTAAAAGTATATATAATATAATTTGCGTATTTTACAAAGCTAAACACAGATTTGGATAGAACTGTACCCCTAATATATTTCTAATAAGTTTAAGACATCTCGCCAAGACGATCCAGTGTTATAACCTTTGCCAAGAGAATAAATGCCATATGAACACAAGTATATAGTGTGTGGAATCATAATGTGAATTTTAAATGTTGTGAGTGTTGCCCGTTAATAAGGCGGACATCTTGACTCTTGGGATTGTTTGGTCATTGAGCGTTGAGCCACTGTTGTGTTATCTCACTGTTAGATGCATGGACATTTAGTGTTTCTGCACCAGTTTCTTAAAAAGCATGAGTTGTAAAGTGCCTCCCTGCACTTAGTGTATATATTGAAGGCAGGGGCGTCGCTGGGACGAGTGCGGGGCCCTGATCTATCTCAGCGTTCCCCCTCATACTCTCATGGGCAAACTGAGCAACCCAAGCCCACTGAAGTGTACTATACTGGGGCCGAGACAACCAGCGGCGCCACTGACATCGCTACGTTATTTTTCAGTCATAGAAATATTGAGATAGTGTTTAATTGATGTGACAGTTTTAATTGAAGTGTTTTGTAATACTGTAGAGAAATATACCCTCTTTGTGCTGCATAAGATAAAATACTATAGTGAAATGTATAGAGACGTATATGAGTTTAATTCAGACTAGCTCTCTCAGCAGATTCATATCCATTATTATATCTGATCTATGTTTGGAATGTTTTTCCCTACTTAAATTTATGTGTCCCTGCTTTTCTATGTAAGAGATTAAATTTAAATCTAACATCAGACTCAAAAAAAGGATATTTGTATATTATATATAGCATCTCAAAATAGTCCAACTATATTTTTGAAGATGGTATACAATAATCATGTGATAGTCTTATATACTGTTATATGTACATCAATAATATGCTGAGATATGATCTTGATGATATGAAGCACTCTGTATTATTAAGTCATCCACGGTAAACTTCATTTCTCGGTTTCATGCTGTCTCTTCTGTCTTGCACTTTCCAGTGTTTCTTTTCTGATATATTTTGTACACGCACACAGACACACAAAGAAATTTACTGGCACAATTTTCATTTGAAACATTATTTCTAGAATAACCCAGATTTATTATTCTTACTTAATCGAATACGTCTGAAACCATCATTAGTCGATGGTTTACCTTTCTTACATTGATCTTATATGTAAAACCCATCAGTTCTGCTCCACTTTTCTCTCATCCTTTTCGTGATGTGATTTGTTTTTGTATGTAAAGGGAGGGGAAACTAGTCAAGAAGGAAAGTGGTCAAATAAATGATTTCCTGTGTCATAGCTGTGAAATAAAAATGTGTTCTTGCATATCAATATGTGTTGTACCATTGGTGTACATACAGTTATTATAACTAATAAATGTTGATTCATAACTAATTAAAGTCTTTTTTATTGACTGGCAGACGAATAAGGTGATGAGGTGATTCAGCTGGGTTAAATATCAGAATCAGAAAGAGCAATGTTTGCACACACAAGGAATTTGTTTTGGTACAAAAGCGAGACAACACCAGTACACAGACAGTAGAGTACAGAATAGAGATACGTGGATCTGATACACACACATACGCAGCGTAGAAGGGAAGAAGAGAAGACGGCAGAGGACTGTGTCTGTCTGTCACGGGCCAGGACCCTTCTCATCACTGGGCCATCGCAATCACTGACTTGCACTTTCATAAAACATGTTCAGGAATGAGTGAATTGAGTGGAATTGCTCTTGGTTCCAGTAGTCTTGATGTTAGAAGACTAAAAGGAATAGGGGTTATGCGCAACATTCTTCCGGAGTCTACAAAATGAAGTTTTATTAACTAAGTTCGGGAGGAGCATGTTCAGATAATTAACACGAGTGGACAGCAATCAGCAATCAATGATGAGAGGGTACAAATAGACTCAGCAGTCTTACCTCGATTCATTGACAGTTTGCAGCATCCCTCCTCCACCCCTTCTCCACACTCCTAGTTCTCCACACTCCTCTTTCTAAAAAATCACTTACATACGGGGGGAGTACTCTGGGTTCGGGCTGGATTCGAGCTCGGAGCCCTCCCTCCGGACAGCACGCCAAATACGCATTAAATCTTATTCCTCAATTATATGTAAGTGTGAACTCGTGAAACGGGTATAACTACTTCCAGTCGTCAGCTACTGAGGTCAACACAGCGTGGTAATGGCGACATTTATAGCCGCCGGTGTTTACTGGAGCTACCAATTCTATCCATTTCAGATGTACACCGTATTGCCAATCGGACGTCCAGAGTCCTGAATATTCAGTTAGACAACGGGTTTAAGTTTTAAGCCTCATTTAATGATGTTTTATTAACAGTTCAAGAGAAGCACGTTCAGATAATTATCACAGGTGGAGAGCACTCAGCAATCATGGTTAAATCATGTCTCATTAACAAGTCCAGGTGAAGCACATTCAGATAATTACCTAAGGTGGAGAGCACTCAGCAATAGTGATTAAATAGTGTATATTTGCACTCAGCAGTCTCACCTCATTTCTCGGACAGTTTAGCATCATCCCTCCTCCACCCCTTCTCCACTCTTCTAGTCCTAAACCACTTTACATACAGGGGGGAGTACTCTGGGTTTGGGCCGAATTCCGAGCTCGGAGCCCTCCCCCCGGACAGCACGCCAAATACGCATTATACTCATCCCCTTTTAATTGTATGTAAGTGTGAACTCGTGAATTCATGATTATGAAGCTGTGTAAGACAGCGGTGTCTTCTCACCCCATAGTTCATTTCCCCCGACACAGAATAGATCGACACACAACAAAAACTGCTGTTCGGATGTTCTCGTTTCTGATACTGCAGCATTCGTGACATTTTAATTAAAACAGAAATAAGAATTATATTATAAAAAGGCGAAAATTAAAGGATTAGGTCACCTCAAAATGAACATTTGCTGATTATTTACTCACCAATTGAAGTCCAAATGAATGCAGTTTCAAAAGGTTTTGAAGTGCTTCTAAGGCTCGATGCACGATCACAGCTGAGGAATGGGGTCTTATCCAGCGAAACGATCGTTCATTTTCTAAACATAATAAACATTTATATACTTTTTAACCACAGTTGTTCATGTTGTGCCGTATGCGACGCGCCAGGCATTATGGCATCACGGCGGAAACGTCACACGTCACATCATCTGTTTAAGTGATCTGTCTGTGTACTCCGGTTCAAAAAGGCAGGAAAGGCCGAAAAATTCCATCTCATTTTCTCATCCAACTTCAAAATCGTACAACATCTTTGTTTTAATTTATAATATATATTTATATATATACATATATTTCATGACGTTTCCAACGTGATGGCGTAATGCCTGGTGCGTTGCAGACCAGCACAAGATGAACAATTGTTCATCTATATGTATATCAACATCTATATATATATATATATAAATACACTAAAATTAACCATCACTGAACTCAGTTCAGCTGGACTATGATGCTGTTTTCTTTTAGAAACAAACTTTGTTGCATTATTTTCCTGTTATCTCTGTAAAGCTGCTTTGAAATAATCTGTATTGTAAAAAGGTGACTTGACTGTAAATGTAAGCACCAATGATCCTGATCACTTGAACCGTCTGTAGTCTTCTGATGTCTTGTGTCTGACAGTTGTACATGAGCATAGTATGACAGCAGAACAGAACTGCATCAGCAGCTTCTTCATCTGGTGAAGGAGGTAAAAAATATACTTGAGCAAATATACTTGTCCACCTTCAGGTATTGAGAGATGGTGGTGCCTAGGAACCAAAATGTGGGGGTGTTCTTCCTTATAAGTCATTCAGTCCAGCGTGCGCTGTGTACAGATTTCTGATCAGTCTCACTTGCAAGTATGGAAAATCTGTATGGAAAGTATGGACAGTTTCTGAATGTTTAAAAACCTACAGGTGAGTAATCCAGCAATTAAGCACCAAAGATGTACCCCTCAAAGGATCGACCGGGTCCTTTTTCTGAAGGAGACTCAAATCTCTCGAACACAGGTGGCCGGTTCCTTATATGCTAAAGAAAACCACCGTATATTTCCTGTTAGGGTGACGTGACCTCACGAGAGGCTTCCTGTTAAAGGTCACGAGAGAGATCTTGAGGATGAATATAGAGCTCAAGGATACGCACATAAGGGTGAAATACAGCACACAGGAGAAAGCAATTAAAACAAATGACTCTGATATGTGTCAGAAGTCAATACTATTTAAAATCCTCCCCTTATGTGGCCAAGCTCAAAGTTGTTATAACTGCACCAGGCAGCCATCTGTTCAACCTCCAGCCTATATGCAGACTCGTCACTATTGTGTATGAGGCCGATGATGGTAGTGCCGTCTGAACAGAAGGGTCTGTGCAGTGCAGTCCTTTGTGTATGGGGAGAAGAGCAGTGGGGAGATAACAAACCCCTGGGGGGCGCCAGTGCTGGTTGTCCAGGTTTTGGATGTGAATTTCCCTATTTTCACTAGCTGTTGCCTATTGTCGGAAAGCTGTTGATCCCCTGACAGATAGAGCTAGGCACTGGGAGCTGGGTTAAATAAGTCTGGAGGAGAGCTGGGATGATGGTTTAGAAGGCAGAGCTGAAGTCCACAAACAGTCCCTGGTTTGTCCGGATATAATTCAGTCCTGTGTTAACTGCCTCAACCAACTGACCTGTGTGCTTGATAAGTAATAATAATAATAATAATAATGATAAGTAAACTGCAGGGGGCCAGCAAGGGTCCTGTGATGTCTTTCAGGTAGGCCACCAGTCTTTCAAATGATTTTATGATCACAGACATGACAGCGACAGGGCTGAAGTTATTAAGTCCAGGTAATCATTTTTTATTAAAAAAATGTGCGTTTGAAGCTGGAAGAATTTCGCAGAGCTCCAGTGATCTGTTGAAGACTTGCGAGAAGATCAGCTGGACAGCACAGGTTTTCTCTGCACCATCTGGGCCTGTTTCCTGCGGACCTGACGCACATCCTCTTCTCTAATCTGAAGTGCAGAAGAAGAAGGTAACTTGAGGTGTTGTTTGTTGTGCAGAGAGTTAGACTGGGTGTAGGGAGTGAGACTGGGATTTGCAGATCTGCAGTTGAAATCATTCGTCAGCCAGTTGTTGTTGATGGTGTCTTGTAGTTTGTAATGTCTTTTTATGTACGCCACTGTCGCAGTGTTTTCCGTCCAGGGCAATACATGCTTGTACTGCACCAAATGGAAACCGGCGCAGTTGAGGTCCTGTCCAGGAGTAAAGCAGCATGCCCATTGCATACAGCCCCAATCTGAAGGCATCTGTTGTGACAACAACATGCCTGGACACTTGTCCTAAGATCCCGTGGGTGGACATGCAAGTCTGCCAAAGGTTGAAAGTGCTGAGACAGATTCCTGAAATGATCACCCGCCGAACCAGTCTCATATGTAACAATCTGAGGGAGTGCCTGTTGCTGTGGATGTCATATTCACCAGGAGCCTCTACAACTGTTTCAGTGGACCCGCTGTTCAGCCCCTGAATGAGTTCAGCACCGACTGGGCACGCTCTTCTGTATGATTTCATCTGCGCCAGCAAGACCACAGTCTGTGCATGCAGGACAGGGCTGCCTTGCTTGCCACCGAGGTGAATAGGATGCAGCTAATTGTCCGAATGAGTCAACGAGACGGGTCTGGAAGCACCAGCCCAAGGCCAGGCCCCCAAACTCTGAGAAAGTAGCGCCAGAGGGACTACAGAAGTACCCACCGAGGGCAATGAGGAGGCGTAGCGCCCTGAAACCCAGGCAGTGAGTGTGGTGTGACTCTTACCTGGCTCCATGGAGCCGTCGAAGTTTCGTCTGGAGATGCGAGAGAAGGCGTCACCGTCCTCTGCTTCCATGCATTGTGTGACCCAGAGGTTGAGGAAACTGCTCTTTATTGAGACTTTGGGTACCGCTGGTCCAAACTCTTTCAGAAACGAAAGATTCCCGGCCCTCCTCCGGGGGAAGGAGCAGGGCGTTCACCAGCTTCCGGGTAAGAGTGGTTCCCTCCGCCTCTGTCTGCGTCTGTTCTGCCGAGAACTGCTGGGCAAAGCCTTCTTAAGCAAGAAGTTTTGTATTCCTGCAGTCTGCCATTTTTGGCAAATAAAGAAAATGTTTGTCTGAAGATATTTTTTGTTAGGTTTGGATTTTGAGGGCCCCGTATGGAAAATTATTTCCTTTGTCAGTCACGTTCTTACTGAAATGTGCAGCATAAACCAGTATGAGTTATATGCTGGTCCAACCTGGTTTGTGCTGGTTGGTGCTGATATAGTGCGGGTGTCGCTGGAGAACCAGCATAGTCATGATGTTCCTCAAGAAAACCAGAGCTGGTGAAGCTGGTCTTGCAGTGTTGTAACTTGCGAAATGTTTCAAAGGATCAAATGAAGTGTCTCCTATTTCTCTATTTCTCCTAAAAGCATCTGTACATGGAAGGATGTTTCCCTTCCCTTGGATTTCTTTATGTTTGGCTAGAAAAAAGGAGTGTAACATTAAATAAAGATGTGTATTTTATATAATATGAAGGTCAGGGCAATACAAGAAAAGGATCAAGTCAAATCTCCTCTCTTTTGAATTTATTGTACAGTGCCAAAAGTGAACAGGTGAAAAGAAAATAATATTTAAACAGGAACAAATCGCACAAATAACAATACCAAAACAAGGTGGGAAGGCGAGCTCGAGAGATGCCAAATCAAATAAATAAATAAAACAAAACAAAGCTAACGAGGTTTAATCAGCTAAGCTATCTATCAAAAGAAAAATGTAGAAAAGAAAAGTCTTCAGTGTCAAGACGTCCAAACTAAACTACGCCGACTAACCAGATAACAGACCTACAGGGTGTGGTAATGTTCATACAAACAGGATTTCCTATGTGGTGCGCCACTTACTTACTTAACCGCTCCCTCCTTCCCAGCCTCACACACAACGTGATGACGATAGAAGAGTGTGAGAACTATACACTCCACTACCACACTGTGACAAACGTTTCAATCAAAGAATAAACACACACAGTACAGAAGGACTCTAGCGACAAGCTCAAGTGAACAAGCACCACCAAAGCGAGCAAGACGCTGGAGACGTGGAGGAGATACGGGTGTGTGAAGGAGGCGGCGTAATGTGATTGACAGTGTGAACCGGCTCGTCATCTTCCTTAATGAAGACTGAAATTCTGAAACACACAACAAAAAACTACCCACACATATGCACACAAGTGCACTTAGTACAGAATTAGTTCCAATTTAGCAGACTTTAAGTATACCAGTTTAATATAGCAAGGGTATTTATATTAAGTACATGTAAATGTATTTGTAGAATACTTAGCATAAAATAAATGTATTTCAAATCGTGTTTGTTTAACTACAGAGGTTAAGAGAAGAGCTCTTTCAGTTAATAACAACTTGATAATGAAGGTCCAAAATTTAAAGTTGCTGCTTTTAAAGACTTTCATGCTCATTTGCAAAGTCAAACGTGTCAAAATTCCATGGGATAATTTTTTGTGTGTGTGCAAAACACACCAATGCTGGATTTTTCCTCACTTTCTTGAAGTGATGACCTGCACTACTTTTGGTTGTTTGGTTCTTTTGGTCCTCGAGGGCCAGAGTTACCGGCTCTGCTCTACAGGCTTCAGACAATCAGTACACCTGGAGGTCTCTCTCTCTCTCTCTCTCTCTCAAAAAAAGATATTGCCGATATCGTTCAAAGTCAGCTCATTGTCATGTAAACTTTGGCTTATCTTGGGTTTGCTGAAGAGCAAAATGCACAGCAGGAGACCAAGGGATGGTAACACCCGAGTTTACTGAACAATCTGACCAGCACTGATTTCACCAGTGTAATTATACCAGGCAAAGCCTCTGAAAAAAAATACTTCATCACAAATATACTAGTGTAAAATTAAACATCAATTAATACTGAAATATAAAATGAATACACACACGCACACACAAATACAGCCGGTGGTTCTTCAGATCTGATCCTTAAATCCTCTTGATTTATTTCAAATCTCAGTTTCAAGGCGTCTTATCTTCGTTTTCATTCCCAGGTCTCTCTCTCTGGTCATGTCTTCTAATGTTTTCTCGGTTCTCCAGACTGATGTTGCTGTTTCTCGAGGATCTGTTCAGTGGACGAGTGTGACCATCTCCGGCTCCTGAGCGAATGACGCGGACGCACCGTTCTCTTTACTGCTGCTGTGTTTTGTGATAATCAGAGTCTTTTTCTTGCCACAACATCTGTGGGTAAACACAATATGCAAATTCAGTTAAACCCAATAACACTGTTAACGTAAGAAAATAGCTGGCAGTAAATAATGCTTTTGTAAGAAATACAATAGTTTGAAAGTTATAAAACCAAACATTTTCTATTTATTTATTTCCAATCAGGTTCTTGACACTACAGTCCATTTATTCTTTCGGAGCACTGATCTTTAAGTGCGCTTGATTTAAAGATGCTTCGGGTCTGTCTAATACCCACTCTTGCACCCACTTGAGAGCACATGTCCCAGGACTGACGAATATCAACACTAAGGGCAACACAAAAGTGCTGTTTAGTGTGGAAGCTTGTTTCCGCCACAGAATGAAAAATAAAGGTAATTGCGACTTTTTATCTCACAATTCTGACTTTTTTTCTCACAATTGCGAGTTTACATCATTGCGCGATATAAAGTCAGAATTGTGAGATATAAAGTCAGAATTGTGAGATATAAAGTCAGAATTGCGAGATATAAAGTCAGAATTGCGAGATATAAAGTCAGAATTGTGAGATATAAAGTCAGAATTGCGAGATATAAAGTCAGAATTGTAAGATATAAAGTCAGAATTGCGAGATATTAAGTCAGAATTGCGCGATATAAAGTCAGAATTGTGAGATATAAAGTCAGAATTGCGAGATATAAAGTCAGAATTGTGAGATATAAAGTCAGAATTGCGAGATATAAAGTCAGAATTGCGAGATATAAAGTCAGAATTGTGAGATAAAAAAGTCAGAATTGTGAGATATAAAGTCAGAATTGCGAGATATAAAGTCAGAATTGCGAGATATAAAGTCAGAATTGTGAGATATAAAGTCAGAATTGTGAGATATAAAGTCAGAATTGCGAGATATAAAGTCAGAATTGTGAGATATAAAGTCAGAATTGCGAGATATAAAGTCAGAATTGTGAGATATAAAGTCAGAATTGCGAGATATAAAGTCAGAATTGCGAGATATAAAGTCAGAATTGTGAGATAAAAAGTCAGAATTGTGAGATATAAAGTCAGAATTGCGAGATATAAAGTCAGAATTGTGAGATAAAAAAGTCAGAATTGTGAGATATAAAGTCAGAATTGCGAGATATAAAGTCAGAATTGTGTTATAAAGTCAGAATTGTGAGATATAAAGTCAGAATTGTGAGATATAAAGTCAGAATTGTGAGATATAAAGTCAGAATTGTGAGATATAAAGTCAGAATTGTAAGATATATAGTCAGAATTGTAAGATATATAGTCAGAATTGCGAGATATAAAGTCAGAATTGTAAGATATAGTCAGAATTGTGAGATAAAAAGTCAGAATTGCGTGATAGTCAGAATTGCGAGATATAAAGTCAAAATTGTGAGATATAAAGTCAGAATTGTGAGATAAAAAGTCAGAATTGCGTGATAGTCAGAATTGCGAGATATAAAGTCAGAATTGCGAGATATAAAGTCAGAATTGTGAGATATAAAGTCAGAATTGTGAGATATAAAGTCAGAATTGCGAGATATAAAGTCAGAATTGTGAGATATAAAGTCAGAATTGTGAGATATAAAGTCAGAATTGTGAGATATAAAGTCAGAATTGTGAGATAAAAAGTCAGAATTGCGTGATATAAAGTCAGAATTGCGACATATAAAGTCAGAATTGCGAGATATAAAGTCAGAATTGCGAGATATAAAGTCAGAATTGTGAGATATAAAGTCAGAATTGCGTGATATAAAGTCAGAATTGCGAGATATAAAGTCAGAATTGCGAGATATAAAGTCAGAATTGCGAGATATAAAGTCAGAATTGTGAGATATAAAGTCAGAATTGCGAGATATAAAGTCAGAATTGCGACATATAAAGTCAGAATTGCGAGATAAGAATTGTGTCTTTATATTGTGTCGCAATTCTAACTTTATATCTCGCAATTGTGAGATAAAATGTCAGATGATAAAATGTCAGATAAAAAATTTATTTATTTTTATTCATTGGCGGAAACAAGCTTCCATAGTTTAGTGTAGACCACAGTTCATGGCGTATTATTTTGCTGTTAATTTGCACACTGTATACGAGTATGGCTCCATAACCAGTTGGTGTGACTTAAAGACAAAGTTGCCAAATCAGTTGCTGTTAAGGTTTTATGAAGGTTAATGTTCTACACACACTCAGGAGTACGCACTTGCACACGGTGGCCAAAACTCCCAGAAACACATAACACAAATGTGTTGGTGTGGGTGTTGTGACAGATATGTTTCTATAGTATTTTAATTATATTTTATCTCCTTTAAAAAAAGACATACCTTTTTCTGGTTGCTACAATGACACAGATGAGCAGAATGAGGAGAACTGCCAAGATCGTGAGTAAAATGATCAGCCAGTCTGTAAAAGGATGATAAAAAATGACATATTATTTCAAACAAACTGTTTAAATAAGTTCGGTCATGACATAACGAATTTGGCAGGAGCTTTGAGCGATGAGACCTCACAGGACTATATATATATATATATATATATGCTTTTCCCTTTTAAGGCTTCTCAAATAGAAAACAACTTGGAAATAACTTGTTTGGTGCTCTTTGGTTGGTTCTCAGTCATAAAACATTATGGGGGGAAATCCAGTATTGCAAATGTATTCATAGGGATAAAATCCCACAATCATGAGACTCTTCTTGACTAATGTGTCCCGATTTCTGTCAAGGCCTTTGGTTAGACATGCATTACTAAACCAGTTCCTGTCAATAATATAGAGTGTTTCAGTGGTGGTTGAGATTATATTATATATGAATTCAGAAAAAAGTGTTAAAAATGTGTAGTATTAAACACCATTCACTCTCCCCATCTTTTAGGGATGGACCCACATAGCAAACAGACTTGGCCCAAATGTGGCCTCATCATGGCACTGCTGGCGTGTTGCCGGCAATGGCATGCATCATGTCAGCCAACTGTGGGCCAAGTGTGGCAATGATGGCACTGCGTGCATGACGGCAGACAACTTCTGGGCCGATTGTGGATGGGAGGTGTGTGGCCCACATCTTGTCAGCCAACTGTGGGCCAAGTGTGGCAATGATGGCAGTGCATGACGGCAGACAACTTTTGGGCCGATTGTGGATGGGAGGTATGTGGCCCAGATCAGTGTAGCGATTGTGGGCCATATTCTGTGTACTGGACAAATATAAGCCTGCTACTATATTTTCAAGGCAAGATTACCCCACCCCGACCCCTCTGAAAAAGGTGTTAAGATTTTAATAATAAACTAGAAAAAAAAGTTTGATGACAAACTTTAAGTTGGCTTGAGAAAGCCGGACCAGAGCGTTTGAAGTTTTGAAGTTTGAATGAAGTTTTAAAGATAGATTAGAAAGAAAGAAAGAAAGAAAGAAAGAAAGAAAGAAAGAAAGAAAGATGGATAGATTAGTTAGAAAGATAGATTAGTTAGAAAGAAATATAGATAGATAGATAGATAGATAGATAGATGTTTTTGGCAAGAAGCTAACATGATTAGCATGTAGCTAGCTTGATGCTAATTTGATTAGCATGTAGTTAAGATGATTAGCATGTTGTTAGCATGATTAGCATGTAGCTAGAATCATAATAGCATGATTAGCATGTTGCTAGCATCATGCTAACGTGTTTTTATCAAGAAGCTAGCATGACTAGCATGTAGCTAGCATCATGCTAACATGATTAGCATGTTGCTAGCATCATGCTAGCATGTTTTAGCAAGAAGCTAGAATGATAAGCATGTAGCTAGCATCATGCTAGCATGATTAGCATGTTGTTAGCATCATGTTAGCATGTTTTTAGCAAGAAGCTAGCATGATTAGCATGTAGCTAGCATCATGCTACCATGATTAGCATGTAGCTAGCATCATAATAACATTATTAGCATGTTGTTAGCATCATGCTAACATGTTTTTAGCAAGAAGCTAACATCATTAGTATGTAGCTAGCATCAAGCTAGCATGATTAGCATGTTTTTAGCAAGAAGTTAGCATGACTAGCATGTAGCTAACATCATAATAACATGATTAGCATGTTACTAGCATCATGCTAGCATGTTTTTAGCAAGAAGCTAGCATGATTAGCATGTAGCTAACATCATAATAGCATGATTAGCATGTTGCTAGCATTATGCTAGCATGTTTTTAGCAAGAAGCTAACATGATTAGCATGTAGCTAGCATCAAGCTAGCATGATTAGCATGTTTTTAGCAAGAAGCTAGCATGACTAGCATGTAGCTAACATCATAATAGCATGATTAGCATGTTGCTAGCATCATGCTAACATGTTTTTAGGAAGAAGCTAGCATGATTAGCATGTAGCTAGCATCATGCTACCATGATTAGCATGTTGCTAGCAAGAAGCTAGCATGATTAACATGTAGCTAGCATCATGCTAGCATGATTAGCATGTAGCTAGCATCATAATAACATGATTAGCATGTTGCTAGCATCATGCTAGCATGTTTTTAGCAAGAAGCTAGCAGGATTAGCATGTAGCTAGCATCATGCTAGCATTATTAGCATGTTGCTAGCATCATGCTAGCATGTTTTTAGCAAGAAGCTAGCATGATTAACATGTAGCTAGCATCATGCTAGCATGATTAGCATGTAGCTAGCATCATGCTAGCATGTTTTTAGCAAGAAGCTAGCATGTTTAACATGTAGCTAGCATCATGCTAGCATGATTAGCATGTAGCTAGCATCATGCTAACATGTTTTTAGCAAGAAGCTAACATGATTAGCATAAAGCTAGCATGATTAGCATGTTATTAGCATCAAGAAAGAAAGAAAGAAAGAAAGAGAAAGAAAGAATTGTTAGAAAGAAAGATGCATAGATTAGTTAGAAAGAAAGATGGATAGATTTGTTAGAAAGAAAGCTGGATAGATTAGTTAGAAAGAAAGATGGATAGATTTGTTAGAAAGAAAGAAAGAAAGAAAGAAAGAAAGAAAGAAAGAAAGAAAGAAAGAAAGAAAGAAAGAGAAAGAAAGTATTGTTAGAAGAAAGATGGATAGATTACTTGGGTAGAAAGAAAGAACGATAGATTGTTAGAAAGAAAGATGGATAGATTAGTTAGAAAGAAAGATGGATAGATTTGTTAGAAAGATGGATAGAATTGTTAGAAAGAAAGATGGATAGATTAGTTAGGTAGAAAGAAAGAACGATAGATTTGTTAGAAAGAAAGAACGATAGATTATTTAGAAAGAAAGATGGATAGATTAGTTAGAAAGAAAGATGGATAGATTAGTAAGAAAGAAAGATGGATAGATTAGTTAGAAAGAAAGATGGATAGATTTGTTAGAAAGAAAGATGGATAGATTAGTTAGAAAGAAAGATGGATAGATTTGCTAGAAAGAAAGATGGATAGATTTGTTAGAAAGAAAGATGGATAGATTAGTTAGAAAGAAAGATGGATAGATTAGTTAGAAAGAAAGATGGATAGATTAGTTAGAAAAAAGATGGATAGATTTGCTAGAAAGAAAGATGGATAGATTGTTAGAAAGAAAGATGGATAGATTAGTTAGGTAGAAAGAAAGATGGATAGATTAGGTAGAAAGAAAGATGGATAGATTTGTTAGAAAGAAAGATGGATAGATTAGTTAGAAAGAAAGATGGATAGATTAGTTAGGTAGAAAGAAAGATGGATAGATTAGGTAGAAAGAAAGATGGATAGATTAGGTAGAAAGAAAGATGGATAGATTGTTAGAAAGAAAGATGGATAGATTAGTTAGAAAGAAAATGGATAGATTAGTTAGGTAGAAAGAAAGATGGATAGATTTGTTAGAAAGAAAGATTGGTAGATTAGTTAGGTAGAAAGAAAGATGGATAGATTAGGTAGAAAGAAAGATGGATAGATTTGTTAGAAAGAAAGATGGATAGATTAGTTAGAAAGAAAGATGGATAGATTTGTTAGAAAGAAAGATGGATAGATTGTTAGAAAAGAAAGATGGATAGATTAGGTAGAAAGAAAGATGGATAGATTTGTTAGAAAGAAAGATGGATAGATTAGTTAGGTAGAAAGAAAGATGGATAGATTAGTTAAGTAGAAAGAAAGATGGATAGATTTGTTAGAAAGAAAGATGGATAGATTAGGTAGAAAGAAAGATGGATAGATTTGTTAGAAAGAAAGATGGATAGATTAGTTAGGTAGAAAGAAAGATGGATTAGTTAGGTAGAAAGAAAGATGGATAGATTAGGTAGAAAGAAAGATGATAGATTTGTTAGAAAGAAAGATGGATAGATAGATTAGTTAGGTAGAAAAAAAGATGGATAGATTAGTTAGGTAGAAAGAAAGATGGATAGATTAGTTAGAAAGAAAGATGGATAGATTTGTTAGAAAGAAAGATGGATAGATTTGTTAGAAAGAAAGATGGATAGATTTGTTAGAAGAAAGATGGATAGATTAGTTAAGTAGAAAGAAAGATGGATAGATTTGTTAGAAAGATAGATAGATAGATAGATAGATAGATAGATAGATAGATAGATAGATAAGTTCATTAGTTCATATAGAATGGTAGTTTAATTGAGTCTAGGGCTTCAGGGAATTTAGATTTGAGTTTTTGCTGTACGCTATTGGGCCACCGTAGTCTTGGCTCAATTTGACCATGCTGCAATGAAAGTCAATGGATTTTTATGATTTTTAATATTAATTTTAAGAAATCTGAAAGTCGAATCAGTCTAAAAAGATATAGCAACTCGAGTCAGAACAGTCTGAAGGTCTGACCCGAGTTTGGAGTTTGTAGAGTTAAAGCTCTAGGAGGAGTAGCAGTCAGAAAATTTTGAGTAAGAAGAATAATAATAATAGATGTCATTTTCCAGAGGAAAATGTGAAGTGGTGCTTGCAGTGGCAAAAAGCTCGCTCGGTTGCTAGGGTGTGGTACAGGATTGCATACGAGCCAACAATCATGTGTGTACATGTTCTGGGGCTGAGATGGCTTATTCGTGTGTTTGTGTGGTTACTAGGGTACTAACATGGTTGCTAATGTGTGCTTATACAGTTTATAAGATGATATTTAAAGACTAGTTGACAGTCTGAGTCAAAAAAAGGCAAAATCCATGTTTCTTCTATTTTCTGGAGCTAAGATATGTCTTGAATATGTTGTTT